GTCTTATACATCCCAGGGTTATCGACAGGACTTATATACGTAAGTACGTTTGTTTATAGGTGAATCGAAAAACCTTAACAGAAATTTAGTGAAGGTGGTTGAGTAAAAATGAAAGCAAATAAAAATACAAGTTGACGTCTTATCTATTTTTCTTCCTTCTCTTTTCCAACTCTTCCATATGGAAAAAAAGTTTCAACGGCGGTCATAATGTAGGACATTTACTTTGAAATCTTTATATAAAACACTCACTATGAAAAGATGTATTAAAAATTAAAGAATTGTAAAAAAGAGAAAATTAAGAAAAGAAAGATGAGGAAATATCGAAACAGAAACAAGAGGGCGCAGTTTGGAATCTAAAGGAAGAAGAAGAGGGGGTTAATATGAAGAAAATATGGCGGAAAATAAAGAAGCGAGTATAAAAAAATGATTTGAAAAAGAAGAGGAAAACATAGGAAAGTCGCAAAGAAAAAAAGGGAAAAGAAGACGAAAATGAAGAAAATTAACTGACTTTTGTCCATGTTCGATACACTCCTGAGTCAAGTCGACCTTCACCGTCCTTAAAATGTCACTTGAGTTCATTTCCTCCATTTGTGCCTTTGACGTCTGCTTCGTGATTTTGTTTACAAAAGATTGCTGGAAAGAAAGAAAAAAACTGCTATGAAAATAAAAACTGCGACAGAAATACGCCATCAAAACCCCAAACAGGTGAGGGGGAATAGGATACTATGCATTCATTTTTGCTAGTAGAAGCAATAATATTACATGAGAACATCAACAATTTCAGTTGTAGTTGGAACCTTCGGATTGATTGGAAAAAGTTCAGTTAGATTCATTGAAGGGGTTCCTGGTAGCCCAAGGTAGAATTGCAAAAAATTTTACTCATAAGTTCAACCCACACCTTACGAAGGGCTTTATGTAAAATATGTGTTTGTTTTTTTTTCTTTAAAAAATGCTCAGTGGAAAATGTCATGATACCATCCCTTAGTTGGGACCCAGAAAAAAAAATGAGTCTAGACCAGAAATTAAAGGAAATAATAATAATAATAATAATAATAATAATAATAATAATAATAATAATTGCAGCAATGAAAGAGACACATTAAAAACATTCATAGCAAAAATGAGGTGTGTTGCAGATTTGAAAAAACCCACAAGAAAAAAAAAAGGTGTTAAAATAAAAATATTTTTTTATGTTCACGTTTTTTACAACTAAAGTTTTCTTAGTGTGTGTGAGTGTTAAAGTTCTTATATTTGTCAGGCTAAGATGAAGAGAGATAAGATTTCTTCGTGTGTATGTGTGAGAAAGAAGAGACAAAGGAGAAGGTGAAGAGGAAAGAGTAAGTGTCACGTAGCTGGCGAGGAAGACGGTTGAATGAGTAAGGGTATTTCTTTTAAGTCTTGACCTGTTGTCTATTGCCGCTTGTCTCTTCTTACTTGTTTGTTTGTCTAGAAACTTAGCTTAAATACCCTTCAAAGAGATCACGAAGTATATCTTTTTTATTGTTGACGGGAACGCGACCCGTTGGTTGAAAAATTTTAAATATTTATTTTCAAAGCATTAATTTATTAACCGGAACAATGCGCAATCCTCCGACTCAGAAACCATTTTTTGTCATTTGGTCTTTGACTGTCTTGGTGTTTTATTTCTGTCTTTGGTAACTAAAATATACATTACTGTAAATTGGTAAAAACTGAAGATAACGATTAAAGACAGCTTAACCGGTTTATCTCAACAAAGGAAAATCAAGGACAAAAAATTCTAATGCGAGACAACCGGTAAACCGGTTTCGCTGTTTTAAATATTATATTTCGGTATTACCAATAGACGGTAATATATATGTTTTTTTACCCTTCTCTTTTGTTATGAGTGTCCTTATAATTTAATATTCATGCTTTTGGAGCTCTAATAAAATTTCGTACCCTCTCCCTGCGAAAATATTTCAATAATAATAATAGTATCACCGTGAATCGGCCACAAAAAGTCATGAGGTTACTTTTCTTTGTGACCTTATCATTCATAGTATCATACATAAAAGACCAGATATCGTGATTAACGACTACAAGCAAAAAATTGCCTTCTCGTAGTCAATAGGTAGGTAGGTAGGTGTTTAGCGGCATATCAACTCCTTATGGGTCATTTATGCTGTAATTTAATTTTCTTAGGAGCATTAGTAATTTCTTTTACAAAAATGTATTACTACTTTTTTTTTACTATGGGAATGTATTGCTGGTATTTTTACTATAAAAATGTTTATACTTTTCATGTTTTGACCCCAGTTTGGGAATTAATTATTTGCCTATAGCTAGTATTCTAACAGGTGCTACCATCCCGGGAGCAGCAGAAATTAAAAGGTGGTTCGACGCTCCTCACAATCTCCTGATCAGAAGCTTTGCTGCCGGATGTAGTCTATCGTCATACCCAGGACGGTCTCGTAGCCAGTGGCATCAGATAAAAAAATATATATCTTTTAAAGTATATGAAAAAAATAAGTAAATATGAGAAGCTTGAAATTTAAATTGAAAAAAGTGGCACCTTAAAACTAGTGTTATACTTGTTATAATTAGATCCCTGGGCACCATTTAAAAAGTACAAAGAAGACCATTAACAAAATCCCTGGTAGACTCTGTTTACAGGAGAGTCAAAACCTTGCATTATGTGGAACTGTCCATCTACTCGGAAGAATATCACCAGTGTATAGAAAGTATAAACACTGTATGTTAAGTATTGTGATTTTCAAAGCGTAGCTTTGGAACAAAGCCGTAAGTAGGGGGCACCCAGTGAGGATCGAACTCACTACTCAGTCATAACTGTTCTAGCGAGACAAGGTGCCCTGTGTGTTATGTATTAGTGTTATAGTGGAACACGCCTATTCTATAGTTAATAGACTCTCCCACATATAGTAGTAATAGTAACGAGTCAGTCGCTGAGTCGCTCAGGGTTCGGTCAGTCAGTCGATGCCGGACGACCGTTAGTCGGATACTAAAGTATCAGCGACCACAACTAGATTTCCTATTATATCAAGTTCCTAACGTTTTGTACGTCGAACCTATTTTAGGACCGACTTAGTACAAATACAAGCCTCCAATGTGAAACTACTCCACAACAATTAGTTAACATCAGAATGTGTGCAAACAAAATGCATATATTGACTACCTGGCTTTAATGAACCGGTAATTGATTGTAGTGAACCGAAAGGAAAAAGGAGGAAATAATCATAATAAAAATTGAATACATCAATAATTCCAGTTATGTTTGGGGCCTTCGGTTTGATTGGAAAAGATTCTGATAGACTCATTAGAGGGATACCTGATAGTCCATGCTATTAAAGAAATACAAAATAATTGTTCTCACAAGTATAACTCCCACCTTACGAAGGGCTTTATCGATATGTAAAATGTCTGTGATCTTTGGTAGTTTTGGCTTTATTTTTTTTTACAAAAATGTTCGGTGAAAAAATGTCATGATGCCATTTCTGACCTCGGTTGCCTGGTTGTGACCCGGAAGGAAATGAGTATACACCAGATGTCAAAGGAAATAATAATGATGATGATGATGATGATAATGATATAAGAAGAAATTTATATGGACACACCAGAAGATTTATTGAGCGAATAGATGCATCAACATGAATATGGCTACATAAAGGAAACTTAGAAACTGGGCGGATTTTAATAGTGACTCAAAATGAAGAGAAATGGGATTTCTTCGTGTGTATGTGTGAGAAGGAATATTTGAATATATTCATGAAATAAATTATAACCGAAATGGATTTTTAAGGATTGTGTGACACCCACCGGTGGTCGCGGTCGCAGCTCCAATATGTGACGTCCTCTGGTCGCGACGCCAATATGTGACACTGCGCTGTCGGCCCGTGGTCAACTCCCAGTTGCGGCGCGAAGCTGTAAGGTTTCTTCCACCAGCGTTCTGGGGTTGACTCTAACCTACCCACGTTGTGACTTTGATCTTAGGTAGACGAAATCAATCAGGCGTCGGGCCGTAGTGCAAGCTGAATATGGGGTAAAGGTGATATCGCACAAGCGTAAGTAAAAGAAACAATAAAACAAAACTCAAGAGGTTCAAATATGTTGAGAAATAACAAATTATCTTTATCCGTCTGTTGAATACATGAGTGTGTTTCTCTCCCAGCCCGTTTCTATGGATTCGTGACACTTGCGTTTCTTAAGCGAGTTTTGGTATCTTAAGTCGTTCGTCAATATAACTTGCTTTTAGTAGAAAGGCTAAGTTGGAAGAACGTGGAATTTCTCGGTCAGCTCCTGCGAGGCAACGGCTTGACTGCAACTGCGAATCAACTGCTGGAACGCCTGGAACTAACTCCAAACTGATTAGCTGCCCCGAGTCGTGCGTTTATATGGATACCGACCAAAACCTGGTGTGGGGGCCCGATGTGGTTTGGGTTCCCGATAATTCTCGATTCCCAGCAAGAATTCTCTTTGCTCTCAGGCCAGGAAAATGAATTACTTCCCATTTTTGGAAGATTAATCACTTTCCACTTCGGGGGTTTCAATTGATAATTGGTAGGGATAATTCCAAGGAGGACACTGATACAAAGTGAGCTCAATGTAAGTTATAGAGCAATATAATCCCTACCAATTATCAATTGATATATATATATATATATATATATATATATATATATATATATATTAAACGTTATTTCTAGTGGATACTCGTATTTGAGTAGCCGCTCCGTTTATTTATTAAACAGTGTACTTATTTATTTTCGTCTGCCGGTCTCAATATTTGAGAAATATTATTAAAGAAAAATATGCGCTCCCCGACAGCATTTTTGCTTGGCCATCTATGCACTCTGTAGTCGAGAGGTCAAAGCACGTCAGATTTAATGATGGTTTCGCCTAGCGGGACGCAAGTTCGAAATTGAATGTAACGAACAAATCAAGAATTAGAACTCGGCTCTCCGGTTAAAAATTTCGAGCCATAATCATTACATCATCCGCAACTCCAAGCTGGTAGTTTTAACCGGATACCCATGAAGGTACTTACCAACCTCGACCTTGCTTAACTTCGGTGATCGTACGGGAACCGGTGTTTCAACGTGATGCGACCGTAAGCCATTTAGCGATAAGCAGAAAGAAAGAGTGTAAAAAAAAAAAAAAAAAAAAGCATGGAAAGTAAGAAAATCAGGAAAGAATTTCTAGAAATAAAGAAGAAAGACGAAATGAAAGAATAAAGAAGAAAAAGTGAAATTAAAGAAAAGAAAAATGAAGTCAAAAAAAGAAAAAGAAAAAGAAAAAAAGATAAAAAGAAGCGACGAACGCAACGGACAACAAGATCTTTTTAAAAATGAAGGAAGCAGAGTGAGGATTGGTAATTCTAATAAAGTTATTGAGTTTGACAACTGATAGTTGTTTCTTGAGGTAAAGTATTCCTTTCAGAATTTACTCATTGATATTGCATCAGCAGTAAAAAAAAAATTAAAAAAAATTAGCACGTACTGATGTCTTCAGTAATTTCCATATGTCCCTACTTGAAACGGAACTTAACTTGGTTGGAATCCAAAAACAACGTAATCAGTGATGCGGTTTAAATCCTTGCGTACCATTTAAATAAATATATATTATTTTCTTTTTTCCGTACATGCGCGCGCACACAAACACATACACACACACACACACACATATATGTACGAGATGCTACGTAAAAAGTTGCGGGATTATAACAGCGCGTGCGAACCGGATGTAGTAAATCATTTTGTTACTGGTCTGTGTGAGTTCGGTGTGTACATGCCGAAAGTAACGACTTCAATGGATGCGACGGAAGCTAGGTAGTTTGCTTGCAACCATTATCGAATTCATCGAATTTTTGGGTAGTACCTCGTGTCCGTATCCTAGTGTGTTCGTGTGTGTGTGTGTGTGTTCGTGTGTGTATGTATTTAAGGTGAAGATTAATGTGAATAAATGAACTATATATTATGAAAATAGACAAAAGGAAAACATATATTAACCGACGCATTTCGTCCTCTGGGGAACTTTATCAAAGCAAATGTAAGGATTTTATTTTGTGAGAAATACAAGAGCAAAACAAAATTGGTCTTTATTTTTGTATATATATATATATATATATATATTTTATATATATATATATATATATATATATATATATATGTCTTTTTTCACTTGTACCACAACTCGAAATTCCATGCACAGCGCAATCTTCAGGTACTGAGTTAAGACTGGCCGCTATATAATTTAAATTCTGCTAAATATATCGTGTTATCGCAATGGTAAAGGCAATTCATATTTTATACGGGGATTGTTGTTGTTTTTTAATTTTGTATTTAAAATAAACGTAACTAAAAAATGAATTTTATATGTAAAATAAACAGAAGAAAAAGCCCCACACGCATCAGCATAAATAATTTACTTCACAATATAAAAGAAGAGTTAAAATCTAAATGTAAATATTCACATCTAAGAAGTAAGTTCCATTCAGACAGCTTCTTCCCAAGAGCCGCTGCTTTGTGGAACAGACTCCCGATGTGATGCTTTCGCAATCGCTACAATCTTGGCTTCTTCAAGTCTAGGCTTAACCGTTATATTTCCTGCACAACTCCATGAACTTCACTTCAAGCCTTTTTTTACGCTCTTGGGCCTTGTACTGGATACATATTAGCAAAAAAAAAAAAAAAAAAGGTTATCCTCCGTATAGTGCCTAAAAAATGTGTCGCCATTCCTATAATTAATAGTTTTTAAAAAAATATTATGAAAGTAGAACATCATGTTATACGTTGAGCATTTTATTATTTTAAAGTTTTAGTCTTATAATGTTTCTGATTATTAAAAATTAGATAGATAGATAGATAGATAGATAGATAGATAGATAAATAGATAGATATGGATTACAGCCTAAAACGAACCAACCGGGTATAATATATAATTTTGTCGTGGACTATATTCCGAAAGAGACCAATGGAAATGATGGAAACTAGATATATTAGGATGATTAGATTTCATGATCAAACCTCTTGAGCATTCGAGTAGATCCTCAGGTTCTGTGTGTGTGTGCATGCATGCCTGCGTGCATGTGCGTGCGTGTGATTGAAATTACCACTAACACGAATACACAAATACATGAAAGCAAATTTCAAGTTACATATTTGTAAAATCTGTGGTGATTACCCACCATCTAGTCTACCAAATGTCCGCCAGGTGACATTGCCCGGGGCTATATAATTATAATCATATACTAGAAGTTAGGTGGGTATATAATATGATAATATGATGCCTCGTTTAATCCTTTTTTTTTATCTCATTTCATAAAATGAACATTTTTACATTTATTTCCCTACTCTAAATATATTTTGTTTTGATTTGAGCTATTTATTAAGTTTTAATTTAGTTTTTTATTTAGTTTTTTTTTTCTTTTCGCTTTCTGGAACTAAACCTATCAATTTTTCCGCGTATAAGACTCAGTCTTATATAAATGTTTTAGAAGCTCATGTTCCTTATAAAAAGAGATGAAGTTTACTGATTTATTTAAAAAAAATAAATGACAGTAATGATTTTACACAATTCATACAGCTCAGCTCGATTGCATTGTCTATAGATTGAGGCCATGACAAATTTAGGCTTCTGTTTAGTTCTCAGTCCGAGCAAAAAAGTGGAGGACTTAAGGGGGGTGCTGAAGGGGCATTTTTATACTGCTAAAATATTTTATTACAAATAACACGGCTTAAATTTGTATATTTGTTCTAATATGAAAACTTACATGGACTAGGAATGATAGGAGAAATTCTTGAGAACTTGAAAACCTCTTTTGTGCAAGAGAGTCCCGCGAGGATGCTTTCCCAAACACAATAATCTTAACCTCTTCAAGTCTAGGGTTAACCGTTATATTTCTCACATATCCGCACAAACTGCACTTTTTACCTCTTTACTCTTACCGCTCATACAATAACTACTATACTGAATGGCTCTTTGAACTTGGGTTCACATTAGTAAAAAATTAAAAAAAATAAGAAGTGGTTTATTTTCCAAGGCTTAGGGTAGAAACATTAGAAAACTGGGAGTCTGAAGAAACGACTTCAGATTATTTTCTCTTGATGGAAAAAACCATAATCTCTCCTTTTTGCATCAGTTTTATATAAAAGATGCTGCTATTACAATTAGTGATGGGCCAGTAATTTTAAATAATATAAGTCATTCTTTTCATATATAATTGAAAATGACCCAGATGTCGTAAAGTTTTTCGAAAAACATTCCTATTCTGCATATCAGTAGTTTTTATATGCTTATATTTACTTTTTATGCAGCAATCATTCACGTATATTACGCACTCCTGTACAATACGCACACCTTACTCTGGACTACGAAATATGAAAAAACAAATATCATATGTATAATACGCTGTCCTAATAGATTACTTATTTAATATTTCAGAAGCATTTTTTCATTTCTTATGAAGTGCGTCATTTCATGTGTGACAACATAATAAATTAGTTATTTAATATTTCAGAAGCATTTTTCTCATTTCTTATGAAGTGCAACATTTCATGTGTGACAATATTATACCCGTATTATGGGTACTATAATAGTGGTTTTAGAATTCATTTAATTCATTAAATCATTTTTAATATTTTTATTTTCATAATTTTTATTATAATACATTTATCATATTTTTTATTTTTTAATAAATGTTCTATGTCACTTCAAGACGTAGGCAGTCATGGCTCTCTAAAACTTTCTCTATGCAATAGCTAAGCCGAGTATTAAGAGAGAAAAATAATTAGAAAAGAGTACTGAACTGTTACGTGATATCCGTGCTCCTGTATGGCAGCCAATACTGGATAATGCTAAACAATCTCCTGAAAGATGGAGAAGAGTCTTGAAGCGACAGAAATGTGGTTCTACAGAAGGATGCAGAAAATACCATGGACTGAACACGTGTGCAACGACGAGGTTTTAGAGAAAATGGAAGTAAAAGGAACACTTATAATATTAAGAAAAGGCAGTTGAAATTTCTGGGGCACGTAATGAGGAAGGAGGGCTTGGAAAATCTGATACTCACAGGGCAGTATAAAGGAAAGCTGGACAGAGGAAAGCAGCGCGTAACATACTTGATGAGCTTGAATAAATGGATGGTATAACAAGGTTTAACAGAAATAGCAAAAAGACAAAACTTATTAAGAGCTGCACGAAGATGTGGGTGACCATAATCGCCTACGTCCCGAAGGATCAAAGCACATAAAAGGACAAAGAAGTAATTTTTCTACCCATTACCAACCCTCTGTTTCTGTTCTGCCATCCATTCACGCAAACTCGCCGTTTCCCCCTGCTTCTCCTGTCTTCAGTAGGTCCTATGAGTGTTACATTTGCTAAACCCACTTTCCTCATTACATGCCATAGAAATCTCAACTTTCATTACAGAATTACACAAGGTCGAGGTTTAATATGGGAAGCCTTTCAAAAATTGCTAAAACCTTGTCGACAATTCCATCGGCCCCTCCCGAAGTAGAGGTACTGCCTAGGAGGTGCCGCTGGGGCTTGAGTTGATATTAATTTCAAACTTCCCCGTCTGGTTAATACAATAGCATAATAATCTTTGTTTTCTTCGTGTTATTTCTTACATGCATATTAATTCATATAATCCATGCATCTAACAAGATAGTTCACTGTTTATTTCCCCCGTTTTTTTCTGCTTTATTTTAGCACAAATGCGCCTGTCGACTCGCAAAGCGAGTATGACCATCACTAACATGTCTAGCCCTTTATCACCCCCCCCACAACACTGCATTTCATGTCACATATGTGGCATATCAAATCATCTCTGGGTGGTGGAAGGACACTTTGCACATCATCACTTCCAATGTGCCTTTTCATATAACTTGTCGGGCCTGACCTGGACTTGCACACCCTAATGCAGGTCAGGCATTCAAAACACGCCATTATGAAATCGTCACATACAATAGACTGTTGGAGTTGATGTGACCGCTGGTGACTGAGCAGACCTACCCTGGACAAACATATCAGATTGCATTGGGCATATGGCCAGGTTGGCCCCTCATAGCAATTCAGGGATCCCTTCCGAACTCCTCTCTTCAGCTCTTCATA